GAAGATGGCAGCATTGAGTGAGATACCTCATTTTGTGGTGCAACAAAGGCATTGTGAATGAGGCAGACGGTAAGGGAGCCACTTGATACAACAAATGTACTTGCAACAGCTTTTCCATCTCCCCCCTACTTCATGTGAAAGGTTTACCTAAATATACAATATTGATAAAAATTAGAACTTGGCAAAAACACATGAGATGTAACCATCTGGGCCTTTTAAAGTTAGCTTATATATATAACCACATAATATAGACTTTCTAATGGCTGTTATGTCTTAGAATAAAAATTTTAAGAAATAAATAAAGTTAGAACTATTAATTATTTTGGCATTTGGTTCCCCCCCCCGCCCCATATGGTGCAGGAAAGAATCCATTTAGTGTACTAATCCCAGCAGTTAATCTTACACATAGCTGTAAATCAATTAAATTCCAGAACATCTCTCATGTTCTATACAGGTAAATCTCATCTAATTTCTGCTCATGAATAGTCATGATAGATGTCATAGATTCATGACCTTTGGACCTTGTCCCCTGTGCTGCCTGATGGAATAAAATGAGGCTACTCCATGTGGAGTTGGAGAAATTTCAGCATCATCCACTCTTAGCTTTTGGTCTCAAGAGAAGGTGTGGCCCTATTTCTTGGAATCAGAGGATGTGTTCCCAATAATACAGTAGTTTCATTCCCATTATCTGCCTACCCAGATAGGAGTCCTTTAACAAGAATTACAGCCAGCTTTGTCAAAGTGGCCAGGTTAATTTCTATATAGTACAGGCTTTTTGGGTGACATCAACGTTTGAGAAAGTCTTTTGATTTAGTCTTCCTCTTGCATTCACATTCTGTGTTCAGTAAATGCACATCCTCCATTACCATATCCATCAACATGTAGTTTCTAGTTTGATAAGGAGAGCTTGCTCTATCCTTGCAGAATTTCCTTATGTTTTGAAATTTTGATTTTATACACTCCCAAAATGTACAGAACTGCATTGGATACAGCACAAATAAAGGCTATCCTCTTCAGACCATTGTCCTCCATGTTTAACAAAGTGGATGGGATAAGTACATTCCCACTCCTTAAAATCTTACTAAACACAGATGTGAAATGGCTGAAAAGGGTGTTTGTTATTACAATTTTTTAACAGTTTAATCATCTGGGCTCATAGTAGCTGCCTATGGTCTTAGCTTTTGCTGAAAGACAGTTAATCTGAAAATTGTTGAGGTCAGACTAGGTATTATAGAAAATTTGATTCCCTGCATGTAATAGTTTTTACCTCCAGCAATGAGATTTCCTCTCAGGAGTCAAACTTGAAAAATAACATTGTGATTACCTTCCAGTGACTAATCAGAAAACAGCAAGTATCTAAATGCAAGATACATGGGTGAGGAGAAGCATGTTCCATGACAAAGACATGCCATTCAGTACTTGAGGAAGAATTGTTTCTAAATATGTGCTATATATACTGTCTACTCTAATATAATGACTAAAAACAAAATCCAATCTACGGTTAAGAAAAACAACTTTATTAGAGCCAACCAAAGTGTCAAAAAAGTGGGCAAGTTTTTGAGTTCCCTCAAGCTGTTTATATGGTTAGCAGGGATAAAAATAATTTTTAAAAAAGCATATGGAGAAATAACTAAATAATCCAAAATTTGGGCCAGAAGTTATAGCTGTGAAATCTGCAATTAAACTCATTCAAAAGATGGAGAATACAGACTGAATGAAACACTGCTGGTACGTAAGTAGCAGGATTTATTAATATTAATGTTTTAATGACTGTTTTTAATGTAGGGTATTATTATAACATTGCCTATTTTTAATGTTTTTAAAGTTTTAATATTGTTGTACGCTGCTCAGAGACCACTGGTAATGGTGTGGCTAAAAAAAGTATTGTAAATAAATAAATAAATATTGATATGAAAAATCAGTACCTCCCTTTCTGAAGATGTAAACTAGCTTTCAGTGACAAATCTGCTCATTATCTTGGCAGAAGCAAATAGGTTCCTGAATTGGCATGGAGGAGAAGCAGAGTGACATGACTATATATCTGTTTTGCTGTTTCTACAATTCCAGCATGCAACCCACACACAAACACCAGCTGAGCAAGATGCCCTGTAACAAGAACATTGACATCAAACAGAATAAGGGTGATATGAAGCCTCATATTTATTCTCCAGAAAGTTTCCCATGGTGATTTGTCTGACAATGTTTATAGACTACTTAATTTTAAAGCTGCAAGCAATTCATAATAAAATTCAGGAAAACCGTTTATTGAATTATCAAATGGATCCTAAGAGAAGCAATTCATGTAGCCTCAAAACTCTCCACAAACCACAGGACATACAGGCAATGATTCACTGAGCTCTGGGGCTTTGGAATGCAAAGCCCTGAGAAGCCAGACTGGTCCCACTCCCGCTTGTCCTTCAGTCCTCAAGCAAAGACCTTCCTTTTCGGGCAGGCAGGCTATTAAGCAATAAGTAGAGATCTAGGGAACACTCCATTTATAAAATGTAGGTTTTTGAAATGTTTTACTCCATTTATAAAATGTAGGTTTTTGAAAAAAAAATTAAAAATGTTTTTAAATTTGTTTTTAATCTTGAGCAATGTTTTAATTGTTTTTAAATATATCATTTTATATAGCATTTTCACTGGTTATTATGGTATAGTTTTCATTGTTGTGAGCCTCTTTGGGTCACTTATGAGGATAAAGGTGGCATACAAATAATATAATCTTAGAAGGGCAGAGCTGGAAGGGACCCTATGGATCATCAGACCCAGCTCCTCTCAAGGAAGCATGGGGTTTTAAAACTGATCTCCCAACCTCTGGCTCCGCCCTAAGCCAGTGAGCTATCCAGCATGAATGAATAAACCAACCATAGCCTAAATTCAGTTGGTGATCCATACTGAAGAAGTCAAAATCAACCAATGGCCAGAATAATTTGAGGGCTGTGTGCTGGAGTACATATAATTGCATAAATCATGGCAGGGAATTGCTGCTTATTGACCAATTGCTCCTCATATTCCTGATGATATGCCAAGCTGAATAACTGCCTTGTGACCAGGAATGCAGGTGACCACTCAGTACTTAGTGACAGTGCACCGATTATACCTATGCCCAAAGGATTCTGAACAGTGGGATTTGCTGACTCATCGTCAGGCAGCTGGTTCAATGGATCTACTGTAGCTGGGAATCACAGTAGGATTTGGGTCTATGAAATGAACCCTGTGAGATCAAAGAGGTGTTATTCTTTTCTTGAAGCAGCAGCTACCACTGCCACGTGGCAAATTGTTTTTGAAAAAGAAGGGAGTATTAAAAGTCATTTTTTTGGTAAATTAGAGATCAGCCATTGAAAGATAAAATGCTGAAAATTTAACTTGCTTGATGCAAGCTCTTTGTGTGAACTCAAGCGGTGTCGTGGGTCCATGGCAATATTGAAAAACACACAGATCATAGAAACTGGTTAAAATCAGGAATAAACAAAACAGCAATCATCATGCATTGTTAGGCTAGTTTCCTGGGTACACATTACTCTGCTGTTCTATGCTTTCCTAAATAAAATGGTACGAATTCAAATCACTTGAGTTCAGGCATTCAGAAATGATCATACACTGACATAGAATAAGAGAGCCATAGAAATTTACAGATTTCTTTTCACAACTCTCCTTCAGAAAACCTTTTGGCATTTTTTCCCCTCAAGAGTCCTCCAAAATTCACAAGTAGACAATTGCCATAAAGAGTTATTTCTGTAGCCACAGTAATGCCTCAAACTATTAGAAGTGACTGAAAACACATTAACTGTATTGACAAGCTGCCCACATCTGAAACGACATTCCAGAGTTTAGGTAGCATGTCCAGACATGTGGGTTTGTGTTTTAAAAGCTACATTTATTTCTGCATACAGCATTTATCAGTGAAATTAAAGATGTGGTAGAAACTATGTCAGCAAAGGCGCTGACATCTTCTGAGAATCAGCTTGTAAATTGCTACTGCATGGTTCAGATGTAGCCTTGGTTTACCTTTCTTGCTTCTAGAGTCTTACAAGTTTCAAAATATTAACCAAGACTAAGTGGGCAGATGTGGAACGATATCACTCAACAATTACAACTACATGTAATTCAGGAACTTGCATGAAGTTGCCTAAAGAGTAGACCTTTGGTCTAGATGGGTCGGGTACAAATCTAATAAAATAAATAAATACATAAATAAACATACACTCCTGCCTTCCTGAATAGTCCTTCCTTAGGCACACCTGCCCACCGAGATGGGATACATGGCAGGAGGAGAAAGCACTTTGTGGCTCAAAAGTGACCTTTCCACTATTTCATGTTTTTACCATTTCATCCAATGTATTTTTTAAAATTGATTTTTTATTTTTAAAAACTGATTTTTATGAGTGTTTTTTTTCCTGTTCTTGTTAGATACACAACTTCATTCATTTTCAAAAATGTTTTACTTGATGTGTTAGATGCCTTGGAGTAGTAATACTAAAAGTGTGTACAAAGTGCATATATGTTCATGTTGGATTGTTCCTGATAATTATTTTGTTTTTCTTTATTGATTCCTAATCGTGAAGATTATTTAAATCTGCATAGCTTATTATGACATCCATTATACTGATTGCACTGGTTGCAGCAAATGATATATGTAGGACCTATATCTCTTCTGTTTGGTGGTACTGTGAATGCTATGTAGCTGGAGGGGAGAAGGTTTGATACTATATTCAAGAAAGTGAGGGTAAGATGGGCTCTTTATAGGTACTGCCTTCCATTTATAATGATTCTTATAGTGATTTATGAAGTAAAGAAAAATAAAATATTCCTCATTTTGTTCTTTGTGGGGAAATGACATTTAAAGACCTCGATTATGGATGGCCTTGTCTCAACTTATTTTAAAAAACGATATTCTGGAGAAGTGGTCTAAGTAAGCCAATGCCCTGATGCCTGGCTGGCTGGCTTGCGTGAACATATGCAGGTGCCTGGATTTATAGATGGTTTTCTTTTTCCAGTGCTATTTTTTCACCATTGAATTTGGACTTTGTAAGCAAGATGGGCAGCTTCGAGCTTACGGAGCAGGTCTTCTGTCCTCCATTGGAGAACTGAAGGTATGGATGTAAACACAAAGAATTGTCTTGTGTTATTTATTAGTAAGAACCAACTCTGAGTTCCAGGCAGAAGTGTTCATATTTCTTATGTGATTTTATACCAATCTTATGGTTGTTTTACCTTTTTAAAAACTACCCTGGGAAATGTCTGACTGCATATCAATAGACAACATATAAATATCCAAAAATTATATGTATACACATACAGACTTGGTGACTGTTTTGTGGCAGATTTAGAGGAAAGAAATGACACAACCATCTCATCTGGGATAGAAACTGACTGGTAGCAGATGTGATTTTCTCACTCTATTCAAACAAGACTACCCTCCCGTAGAGTGTCTAGCAGAACCACAAGAGTCCTTATCCCAGTCATCTGCTGTAACAAGTCTTGGAATTTGAGCTGCTAAATATGTACAGAAATTGAATGTGGAAGGTTTTGGTTTATTGATAAAATTACAGACCTGAATTATTTTTTTCAGGCTGCGGTTCTTAGCTAATTTATTACAGTGCTATACAGTATTTCTTAAAGGAATAGATACCAGTCATGTGATAATGCATTGTTGAAAGGCACTCATGCAATGAAAATATCTGATGAATTTAGACAAAACTAGCAAGGCTTTGAGCTAAGCTTGGATCCTCTATGCCTGTAAATTTTTTTGCCAGCAGTAGAATGATATCGGTAAAAATGAAAGCCCTCGTATTTGGCTTTATAGCTCTTTTTACCACGAGAATCTTCTTCCATTTGTGAAAACAATATAAAAAACCCTGTATTGATACCATAAAACTCTTGTTTTAACATCCATACACACCATCTGAAAATGCTTGTGATAGTGCACAAACTGACTACATTTAAGCATTTCCCCCAGAAACTTTTCTTTGCTCCAGCTAAGTGGCAACAATAATAGGACAATAAAATCAATGTAGGGACTTGGCTTGGCATGTACTCCATACTGATGATAGCATTTACCATTCATCTCTCTTTTTCTCACACCTTTTATTAATGGGAGGATTTGTGTTATATCACTAGTAGTGCTGTTAATTTGTTATATTCTAGAGCTCTGGCACAAAATTTACAGTTTACAGTTACAAATTTCATTTTGGAAACATAATTGTATTAAGAGCCAAAGTCTCCCAAGAAGCAGTGCATGGAAGGAACCAGATGTGGGCAGGATCAGCCCCACTATTGGGCAGACTGGAGCAGTTGTCTTTGGTGACAGCAAGGTGATGAAGGAGAGAGCTGTGTGCTGTGCAGCTTACCCTTCTCCTCCCATGCTAGCCTGCTGCCTTCAGATATATTAGAAAATAGTACCTATCACTGTTGTTGTTGTTATGTGCTGTCAAGTCACCTCCAACTTATGGTGACCTTATGAATGAGCAATCTCATTCATAAGGAGACTTGCTCAGCTCCTACAGATTCAAGCCTGGGGCTTCCTTCAAGAAGTAAATCCACCTCATATTTGGTCTTCCTCTTTCCCTGCTTTCTTCAACCTTTCCCAACACTATTGTCTTTTCCAGAGAATCTTGTCTTCTCATGATGTGCCCAAAGTAGGACAGCCTCAGTTTCAACATTTTTGCCTCCAGAGAAAGTTTATGCTTGATTTACCCCAGGATCCACTTATTCATCTTTCTGGCAGCCCAGGGTATCTGCAGAGCTCTCCTCTAGCAAATTTCAAATAAATCAGTTTTCCCCCATCAGCTTTCTTTAGTGTCCAGCTTTCACACTCATACACAGTGATTGGAAATAGAAGTGTGTGGATGATCTTGGTCTTGGTCTCCAGAGACACATCCTTACACTTGATGATAATCACTAGTACTAAAGAAAAAAAAATTAATTGTTTGCTCAGAACTCTTCTGTGCCTGGAATGAGAGGGTGCATTAATCTTCCTATTCAGCCTTAGGCAGTAAAATATTTCTGGAGAAGTGAAACTTAGAATAGTTGCCATTTTGAGATCAGTACTTGTACTAAGAGATGCATTATTTGTTCATATTTCAGTGTACTATAGCATCCCTTTACAAACTTTATATCAGTAGATTTTACAGACAGAATTACTGTGAGATGTTATGTTTGTGTCTGCAGTAGAAAATTCACAGTGTATAAATTCAAGTCACATAGTCATTTGAGCCCAACCCTGCTTTTAAATCTCTTTATACTACTACTCTAGGTCACAGATTTAGTGTTGGTCCAGCAATCGTTTTCTTACTGAGGGAAAAAAAGAAAAGAAACATTGATTGTGCTTCCCAGGGCACTTAGACCTATTCCCCAGCCACCTCAACTTTATTTATTTAATTGCTCACTTGCTTCAGATGGATATATACTTATTTCATAATGCACATCCCAGGGCAGCTTACAATACAAATTAAAGCAGTAACTATAACAAGACAGAAACAAGCAGAATTTAAAAAAAAGAATTAAAATGCTAAGAAGTTCAAGAAAAACTTAGATAATCACCTGGCAGATATGCTTTGATTGTATTCCTGCATTGAGCAGGGGTTTGGACTTGATGGCCTTGTAGGCCCCTTCCAACTTCGCTTTTCTGTGATTTCTATGATTTCTAAGTTGTTAACTAGGGTATTTAATAGATCAACAAAATGCATAAAGTTACCCATGAACAAGTGGCACCTGTCTTAAATTAATATCATGGGCTTTATGTTGGGCTGTCTCTGCAGATAGTTCAAGGAACTTGGACTGATACAGAGTGGAGCTTCTCGGATGTTTACATGTGCAAGGTGGTTAGGATTCATGATAAGTTATAACTCTGTAGTCTTAGTTATAACAATTGCCAGTGCATTTCCAGAGCTGGTTTAAAGCCCTAAATAGTTTGGGGCTCAGTGACTTGAAGGCAGTGGTCCTGGTGTCCATTGAAGTTGGTTGGGGTAGAAGGCACAGAAACAAATAATAGGAAGCACTAGGAGTAGAAGTAGATATTTATGCATACAGACAGGCACAGAGGCATTCTCTCTCTTTCAGATATACTCAGGCAGGCAAGTATTCACACACACACACACACACACACACACACACACACACACAGAGAGAGAGAGAGAGAGAGAGAGAGAGAGAGAGAGAGAGAGAGAGAGGCTCCTTTCCCTTGGTAATAAAACAGGTAAGAATGGGATGACTAGGAATAGACTCAGATTACCTGGGCAACACCCTAACTGTACTACTGGATGACTTGCTGATGCTTGAAAGACCACCTGCATTCATATTAATCAGCTTGTGCTTTAAGATTATATGAGTGGATCCAATCTAGCTTAATGCATAGTAATCTATCAGTCAAAAGAGATGGGCAACAACTTCAGTGGTTGATCCAGAAATGCAATCCATTCTCCACCATACTCACTGTTTTGCAAAGCTTTCACTAAATGATTGGTTTCTGAGTGTCTTTCCCTTTCTAGAGTTACCATTTGAATCTAGCCTGGTGCTTAAAGAATAAATACATCTGAAACTGAGTACCTGCAGAACTATTCCCTGCAGACCAGGCAAATTGTGAGCATGACTTAATAGCAAAATGGCCCAATTACAAAATGAAGAAAGGGAGAGAATCCCCCCCAAATATTGGTATGTCTAAAACACTGTTTGATATTGAATTCAAATGTGGTGGCATTCCCTGGAGAGCTGAGCGTCAGTCATCCATGACAGTTACCTCTTCCCAACATAAATCACATCTCCAGAAAAGAGAGGATTTTTGGTTTTTTCCCCCCCTTCCACAGGATGATTCAGTGGGCCACTTGTGTGTTCCCTGACTGATTATAAAATAGAAATTTCCCCTCCAAATGTAGAGCACCAGTTTAGAATGCCTGGATGTTGTGTGGAATCAATGTTCTATTGAAATGCTTAGCCTGATTAATTTAATCCATTTTCTCTTTGTATCCATGAAGTCTTTGTCCAGAAATGTCCAGAAAAGGGAGGGTAGCCATGTTATTTTGTTGCAGCGAAACCAAGAGAGGGCCAGACCAGACAGCTGCAAAGACTCAAACCTGATTTCACTGGACAGGGTTGCTTCAACAGGAGCAATCTTCTCCTAAAGCGAGCCTTCCGTCTGCCAAGAAATTGGTCCAGATTGGACCAAAACAAAGAATCCGTACAGCTGGACCAAAATGTTCCAGACAGGGCACGGATCAGGTTCAAGCTAAAGTGCATTTCCCTGTGTGTTGTATGAATGCTGGGAAATAGATTGCACCAGACTGCAAATTGGTCCAAATTGTGATCTTTTTCCCTGTGTGATCTCACCCAGAGAGTCTCAAGGCACCTTGGAGACAAATAATCAGTTTTATCTGGCATAAACTTTTGTGGACTGTAGCCCACTTCTTCTGATGCCTCTGATGGAGAGGGCTACAATCCACAGAAGCATCTGTCAAGCAAAACTTTTTAGGCTAGGAGCCTGTTGGGTTCTGCTGGAAAGTAAAGTGCTGCCCAGCATCATAATGTAGGATCTCCTGCTTGCACAGCTGTGATGCCTTTACACAAACGGAGGACCTGTTCCTAGTAGTTGGTGGAAGTCCTGCATGCTGCTGCATGAGTTAACTGATTCTGTTACAATCCTGATCTTTAAGGTACCACAAAACTCTTCATGCAGAATTCACTGAGGCTGCATGTGTGTATATTTACCCAAAGAAAATTGCAAGATCAATATTTGTGATATCAAACTCACAAATTTTACATGTGCTGGAATGATTAAAACACTGTATAAATGGACTAAATCCAGGAACTTCACTGTCACATTCTAGTATTTTGCATGCCCTAAACTGCATATTATATTACAGCTAAAAATTAGAACTAGAGTAACACCCAGAATGAATATCTTAAATATCTCAGGGCATCAATGTATCAAATCTCAACCATCTTTGAGGGAGGCTTTTCTTAAAGGATTCTTCTGTTCAGTACTTTGTTCAAGTACCAACATCAAGTAAACCCTCTATCAAAATTTGGTCACTGGATAGCTCATGATGAAGATAGATTCTCACTCCATAGAAATCCAGAACATTGTAGATCAGCCATTCACTATCTAGTTCCTCCTACCTTCTTGTGCAGAGTGAATATTCATGAGTCATGACATAACATGAAGTCCTACAAATGCTCTATTTGTTTGATTCAATTTCCAATGGAATGTATAGTTGTAGAATATTTATCTCTCTTATTCCCTCTCTCTGGCAGAAGGGAGCTCATCTAACACACATAAGGAATTTGATCTAGTAGCTATTTTGGAAGCAGTTGCATGTCATTTTCATTTCTTCTTGTATCTGTATACGTGCCAGTCTGTATAGTTCTTCTCTAGAAATGTGGCTTTGTAATGCTACTGGCAGAAGAGCAATTTTTAAAAATCAACTTTTTAAAAAAACCTATGTGGTGGTTGTCATATATTCATGTCACTCCTGGATCTAAATACATTGTCATGGTGTGATACTGGCTATTTGAAACATATTTTGTGAGTGGCATTGGGGAGATTTAAATTTTACCGGTAAGAGTGTGAACATTTCTGCCTCTGCTTTGAAGGAAGGGATAATTTTAGCTGCAGCAGTGATCGTGGGTGGAATATTCATTGATAACCTTCTCCTTTCAAATCTGAGTTAAGCCACTCCTGCATACAAGGTAGAAATCAGGGATGCAGAGAGGCCTTTGACCTGCTCTGTGCCTGAATAAAGGGCATCCAGAGAAGGGACAACCCACTCTGTGCCCTTTTGGTGACACTCAGACCTGATCCTTGTCCAGATCTATGATGATATTTTATGGGTTTCCAGTTCTCCGTGAAAACCCCATTCCCGCATGTGGAGAAATGCAAAAGGCAAGGTCAGTTCACAGACTGAATGATGCGGAAGGGCATCAATGGCAGTCTACACAGCTGGGCTTTCTTTTTAATTTTCCTCTTAGTTTCTAGCTGTGACAGGAAAAAGTCTCTATCGGCTTCCTAAGATAGTCACCAGGGAGGGAGGGAGGAGGGACCTGACAAGGCTGGTGAGCATGGTTGTCTTTGATTCTTTCTTAAAAGAGCAAGGCAGAGATCCTGATATCCTGTACTTCAATCTAGTTTATGCTGGCAGAATTGTGCCAATAGGATTTTGCCTGATGACTCTGTAGCAGGAAAAACAATGAGTGTTCATTTCTGAGATAGAGAAGATGCTCTTCTTGGTCTTCATTACCTTCTCTAATCCCCACTTCTAATTATGACCAATGAATGCTGGGTTTGACACAAGAAATCCAGGGGATTGCTAATCTGCTCTGTGGGTAACCAATATCTCTTTGCTCTGCCCCTTGGCTGCTCAGAAATGCAAAAACACCCTGGATAAAATGTGTGAGACTAGGGACTGCTGGTGAGCACTGTTTGCTAGAGACCTGGGGTGTGTGTGTGTGGCGGCACTAAAAGACTGGAAAGTTCATCAATGAATTTAACCAGTGATGTGTTTATTTTGCAGCATGCGCTGTCTGATAAAGCCAATGTGAAAACATTTGATCCAAAGACAACCTGCTTGCAAGAATGCCTTATCACAACTTTCCAGGAAGCTTACTTTGTTTCAGAAAGTTTTGAAGAAGCCAAAGAGAAGATGAGGCCAGTCCTTTCCTCCTTGACCCTTTAAAACAGACCCGAATCTAATTTCCTCTTATCTGGAGGCACAGAAATAGAAATTAATTTTCTTTTCTCTTTTTTTTCCCCCAGGGACTTTGCAAAATCAATCAACCGCCCCTTTTCTGTATATTTCAACCCCTACACCCAAAGCATTGAAATTCTGAAAGACACCAGAAGTATTGAAAATGTTGTCCAGGATCTCAGGAGCGATTTGAATACTGTGTGTGATGCCTTAAGCAAAATGAACCGATACTTAGGGATATGACTTCTGTGTTGTTGCTTTGGAGCATATCTACACAAACATCATGCTGACGTGCGATTTACCTTTCTCAGTACTCTCTGTTCCCTCTCTATTGCATGAATCTTGCATTTGCTCAGAGTGTTCTTCCATCCAGCTGTAGCTTCAGATATCAATACTAATATGCAAAATTCACACGGAAGTGGAACATATTTTCTTGCTTTATGTGGCAAAATGTTTACCTTGCCACAAGGCTTTCAGAAGTCCCTAAGGCAATATACAGACATCTGACACTCACAAAAAGAGCCATTATATAAATAAAAGCACATATCAAAGAAATAGCACCCTCATCCAATCAATCAAGAGGGCCCATGAAAGAAAATTACAATAAAAACAGGGCTTTACTAAAAAAATAAATTCTTATGCTTCATGTAATAAAATCATCAATAGTCGTTTCCTGAAGACTTATATTTTCCAGATGATTTTCAAAAAAGAGTATCTCATAGAGAAGCTGATAAAAGACACCTAAGGTACTTGAGCCTCTAGGAACAGAGCTTGGTCCAAGAATATTAACTGAATAGAATTGAATTTATAAAGTCCATATACCGCCTTACTTAGTGAAATAAATACTTGAGACAGTTTACATATTATGAAACAAATCATACAGACCAAACCAAAAATAATCAAGAGTAAAACACCTTCCTTTACTTTAATCAATTAAAATATTAACAATTTAATTTAGACCCTGTCTGTCTTGCTTGCAAGGCTGAAGGCAGCTTGCAACAAGGATTTTAAAAACAGATAAAACTAAAAATTACAATCAATAAGTTTATTAATGTGGTGTTAAATAGATCATCATCACATTAAAACAAGTACTGAATTAATACGGTTTAAAAACCGTCAAAACACACACAATATAAACACAACACTTCCTCTTAAAAGGTTGTTCCACATCAGTCAGTTACAGGCCAAAAGCTATCTAAATAAAAATAACTTTGCTTGTTGGCTGAACGGTGGAAAGCAAACCACCCTAGCCAGCCTCAAAAGGAAGTTCATAGGTTTGGGGGGGGGGGGTTCCACCAAGACAACCTTTTCTTATGCTCACATCAAATGGCCCTATAATGGTAGTGGGACAGAGAAGGACCTGATGATTTTAAGGCTCATATGGAAAATAGCAACAACAGATAGCTGAAACCAAATTATACAGGCTCATATCCAGCACTTTGAGTTGTAGAAAGGGACTGGTAGTCAGAGAAGCTCTTACAGCAAATAAATTCTATTCTTATTATAACTGAGTACCTCTAAATGGGCACTTCAAAGAGTGTGCAACTACATGAAGAAAGATAAACCAGCAGCACTCAGATATGGCCACCAATTTACAAAAGTGTACGTGTGGCTGATTTACACCTGCTTATCGACTGCTTGACGAAAGTAGCATCGAGTTTGAGTTGCACATGAATGAAAGCCATCACCAAATACATCAGCATCACCTCAACCACAATGCTTTGCAATCAAATCACTGAGTCATCAAGTGTGGAGTCATCAAGTGATGTACATCAATGTCTGAGACCACTTTACTGTCATCTATAAATGTGGTTCCAAAAAGAAAATCTTGTTTGGCACTGGTTTTGCTTTCAGTAAGTAGTAGTTCTTTTGGAAACTAAAAGGTAAAATGTGACTCTTCCATTAAAGGGACAGATTCTCCTCCCTTCTTCCCAAACAAAATTTTCATCTGCCTTGTAAGTGAAGACATATGGTATTTATTTCTTGTTTAGCAAGGACCATCCTTCCTTTGGTGGCTGCGTGTTTGGGAATCTCTTGTGGCTCAGCTTCATGTCACCGTATGAAGTACAAGAATGTTATATATTTTACTTAAATGTTCTTTTGGGAATGCAGACAACAAAATCCACAATGGACAAATATTTCAAAGCAAACAAACACAGACAAAGCACTGGAGGCCTTTTCATTTCATATAGGTACAGATACTCAGATATGACCAAGTTGGATTCAGAGGGATCCAATGAAAGTGGAGCATGTTCTGTTTGCAATAACAGGGTGAGCGCTAATAGAGCCACCTCTTGAGGGAAAGGATGTCCATCAAGTTCTCTTTGTCCAAAGACTCCAACTAACCTGTGCCACCTCTTACACTGTACATAGTGGTCTTCCCTTTCCATCCCTCTCTGCCCTTGAAAAAAAAGGAAACTAGCCAACAGCAAACAGAGTGAAGATTAAATGAAGCTCACCTCCCACTTCCTCCAGTGGGAAAGTTCTGTAAATGAAGCTCCAGCTCTGAAACTATAGGTTAGTAGAAAGGTGTCTTTCCTATCTTTCTGCACATGTGCACATTTCCCACCCACCTGTGTATCTATATCTTTATACATTTACCTCCTTATAGCCAATTGATAAATTCCATTACTTGAAAGAAATATTCATGACACTGTTCTTAGTCCACTTTCTTGAAAATATGCCAGGTATGACAAAATCAAAAGTTGCTTACACTGTAATCAGCTAAACTCTGTGGATCTTGCTTCTGAGAAAATATACTGTAAGGGTGCAACTATACAGTGAAAAAAATGCAAATTGGTTTGCTGTGAAGTTACACCTATGAGGTTGCATTTCTCCAGGTAAATTCACATTAACAGGCCACACAGGAAGAGAGGAGAAAATTGAGGAAGAGCTTTGTTTGCAGCTTAACATAGCTCTGCTGCAGGGCTACAGGAGAACTACCTTAATAAGTTGTAAAAAGCTGTGAGTAGCAATTTCCTCCCTTCATTCTGTCTTTCTCTCTGTGAGTGTGAACATAGCTCTCCCATAGCCCTCCTATTTACAGGAGACATGGCTATAGGAGAACTATGTTAGGGTGATACTACACAATGAAAGAACTACAAATTCACTCACATTCACTTGTTATGAATTCAAATTGGGCAGTTCTCTTTATAACCCTGTAGCTGGCAATATTATAAAGAGCTTCATTAACAACAAGTGATGAGGCCCCTTCCTCTCTCAATTTCCTCATTTATTAAAAAAAGAGATTGCCATCAGAGCTTTGCTCTCCATTCTTAAACTGTTTGAAAAACAAAACAAAACAAGAGTGTTGCCCATGGAAAAGAAGCTTTTAAAAAAAGTCTGGAGAGAGAAATTTTGCCAGGGAGTGTGTGTGCGCTCTTGCCTCTTGAGGCGAAAGGCCAAGGAGAAGTATGCATGTGGTGTAGCTTGTCCTTTCTTTTTGTATTAGTTCAAGCAATCACATGCCTGAACCAACGTGAAAGGATCTAAATCTTCAAAAGTAGAAACCTTCTCAGGAGAGGGGAAAAGACTACAGATTGGAGAGGGAATCTGGGCTGATTTGCATTTCATGTTGTGTAGTGTCATCAATGGGGAAAATGCAGATCAACCCACTCCACACCTGCAATATTTCCCACATTTTTTGCTAGTTGCTCCAAATAAGCTGTAAACAAGGGCCGAGTGGCAATTTCCTCCTAATTCACTTCTCTCTCTCTCTCTCTCTCTCTCTCTCTGGTTATCTGTGTGCCCTAGCACAGTACTGCTGCCACCAAGCCTTTGTTTTTAAAGAAATGCCATTAATCGCAAAGATCCAAAGATCCTGGTGTTTTTACACTGCCTCCATCACCACCATTCCATGGCACCAACAACCAATATCCCTGCACATGTTTTCTGCAACAGTTCAAGTGAACATACCACCCAAACCAATCAAATGTTCCCCCAAAAGACACACAAAAAGTAGAAGCCCCAGCAGTGGAGGGAGAAAAATAGAGATGAGGGGAAGTCTGGGCTGATTCTCATTGGTTTTTACATCATGTAGTCCATAAAAAAAAAGCAAATCAGACCATCCCAATCCCATAGCATTTCCCACATTGTATGTCAAAATAGTTGTATCCTATGTCAATTACCCGTCTCTTTCTTAGCTGACATAGAAGGAAAAAAGTACTGCATCCCATCAAAAGAAATGATGCTTTACTAGGATGTTTAATCAGATGTACTATAATTCCTCTCAGAGGCACAACATGTTGTTTGGCAAATAACAAAGATGCAGCAATAGCAGAGGTGCCACATATTGTTCAACAAATCCTCTAAAATGCATTAGTTTAAACCAGAGATATTATCCAGATTTGAGGGCCATGTGTTGTGCTGCATCTCATAAACAAAGGGAAGCTCTCTTTCACAGAGGGCAGCTCTGATTGCAAACAGCTTTTAAACATTCAAAATCTTAATTTGCAATTGAATGTGACAAATTAATTACAAACCACACTTGGCTCCAGAGAAATAATAAGATTCTAAATTAGCTGTGGAAATCCTGACATCATCTTTCCTCTCTCACAAACTCTCTGGGGCTGTCTGGTATTCCTTGCCTCACTAGCCAGAGTTGTTTACACAGAAGTTCTGTAATTCTCAGTTTGCTGCTGTGTGCGGTCATGTTGTAACCAACTTGAAGTAACCCTCATAGGGCTTTCAATGTAAGTGAGATATCAGATGAGTGGATTTACCAGTTCCACAGCCCCTTCCCATAGGTTTCTATGGCCTTGCAGGGATTCAAACCCAGGTCTCCTGAGTCCTAGTTCATTCTTCTGTCCACTACACCATGTTGGAGATCCAGTTCTCAGTTAAGTGAATGCACTTTCAACTTGCACACGAACAAGGGAGTTTTGTCTTCAATGGAGAACATTCTGACACTTCACAAGTAACCCGATGGATATGGAAGTCACCTTTTTGTCACAGCAAGTCTAGTCTCATTTGATCTGAGCATGCCACGTGAATGGGAGAAACGTTCCAGGGATTTGTATCTTCAAGAAAGGATCACTGATATTTATTGGAACTGCTTGTTCAGAGGACGTAACAAAACATCCTGTGTTAAATTTAAGGATAATGCAAAAATCAACCATGATTGGGGCAATCAAAGGTAATGTTATATTACAACAACGTCTGGGATAATAGCCAAGGCTCAAATCATATGTACAAGCTGTTTTGCTGCCTCACTGGAAATGCAGCCGTTTTATTTCTTGAGCAGTATTTTAAGCTATCTCTTAGAGTACAAAGCCTTCTCAAGGCAGTTTACAAGTTTATATAATAAACCACAGAAGTAAGCATTAGGATTTTAAAAACCCAGTAACAATAACAGATCAGCCATCTGACTAAATTGATAGTATCAAGGCCAAGGAAAACACAAAAGAATCTGACCTTTTCTGAAGATCGCCACTGATAGGACAGGATGGACCGCAGTTATTAGCCTACGGTATTTCAAAGGCACAGGTCCACTGCAGAAAAGACCTTTGCATGGGGTCCATCAGTCTGAAAGTTCACAGATACAGGAAAGGAGGAAGAACTTTAGTCTCGTCCTCTGTTGCTGATGTTAAACCACGGGTGGGCTGGTACAGATGAATGTGGTTTCTTGAGCAATTTTGTTGTAAACAGCTCAAAAATTAAACAATACTTTAACTGGCTTCTCAAGCACTGTGCTGACTTGTGCTTCTGGTGCAATATAATTATCATATGAACTGAACCACCCATTAATACTTGGGTGGCACACTCAGCACCAGATGAACCATGAAGCGGATTCATGTGGCAAAACACTGTGCACATGCTTCAGGGAATATCAACAATGGCAGTGCAAAGTTCAAAAGAGCAAGAGAGAGAGAGAAGAAAAAATTAAAAAAAAGAGAGAGAGAAGATCTTTTGCTGTGGGAATTTCTAAATCTGAGATGGGGCTACTACATACACATTGAAAGATGTAGTTTCCTGCACCTACTCATATTTTAAGCAGCCATCCATGTGACTGGCTTCCTGAAGGGTGTTACCAGATGTCTGGGAAGTGGATGTAAACTTGCAGTGCACATGTGTTCAATATACGCTTGATCCAAACACATGCTCACATATGATGGCGACAGACAGAGGGTTTACGTTTGTGTGCTTCTGTTATTTCCCTGGTGGGTGGAAAAGCTGTAGTTCAGTGGTAGAGCACATGTTGTGCATGTAGAGGTCCCAGATTTAATCCTTCACATCTCTAAGTAGTACGAGGACTATAGAAGAACTATAGTCTGAAATTTCAGAGAGCTGCTGCTCATCAGGGTTGACAGTATGAAGCTAGATGGATCCCATGGTTTAAATTAGGAGAAGGTAGCTTCTGAGAGTGGCATAATCAATGTCTATTGTGATACAGAAAGCTCTTATTGTGTCTTTTGCTTCCACATGATCGACTACTTCTGCAGCATTACAGGGGATCCTGACAGAGATCTCGTGGGTTGCATGCAACTTCATCACTAGCTGTTACAATGCAGTCCCACCCCAGGCATCTATTTGAATTACTGTACCATTGGGGCAGATGTATTCATATGGATTGGTTAATGCTGCCATCATAGTTATTGGGTACAGTGGGAGCATGTTATAAAGTAACAGTTTGCCCCAGGATCCTTCACCTGAACTTCTGGTTGCACATGACTCTTTCCTTTTCTGAATAGTCAAAGATGTGCTGTGATTCCATTTTCCTATGCCATTGTAATACTTTGTGAGGAATGAATCTCACAGAAGAAAGCTACAGAGTAGCAAGTAATCCTTGTTCAGAGGTTTTGACACATGAGCTCATTCATCCATGGACGAGGCACCACTACTTTCTTAATATTCCTCCTTTTAAGAGAGTGTCTAATACAGTGGTGCCTCGCTTAACGAGCGCCTCGGTTAACGACGAATCTGCATAGCGAGGGATTTTTTTGCGATCGCAAAAGCGATCACATTGCGATGTTTTTAATGGTAAAACATCGCTTTGTGATGATCGGTAAGCTGTTTCACTTACCGATTTTCGCATAGTGATGTTTTCCTAACAGCTGATCGGCGGTTCCAAAATGGCCACCGGGAAAAAATGGCCGCCC